CCGATTCGCACCCACTAACACATGAAACGCCTGGCACACATGCACGTAGAAAGGTAGTTGTATCTCCGTTTTCATATCGGGCCACCTGAGGAAGTCAAGTTCAATTGCAGTAATATCTTATAACTGGGAGGGGTGAGAGTTGAAAACATTTTTAATGGTACCCCTCCATTGCATGTGTATATTACTATCATCCACTCCCAAATGCAACAGTTATTCCGTGTTATTATTCTGTGCAAGAATTTGTTCAAATTTAGCCGAAAATTATTTTATTATCACTTGAACGTCAGCTGAATGTGACTGAACACCGCATGCCTAAGGTTCAACCAAATATAAGATTAAGCACAAATTTAATCTTTGAGTCAAAAAACGCCCCATCGTCGAGCATCAACTGGATGCGGAGCACCCCCTCCAACCGAGTACACCCCCGTCCAGCCGAAATGTATTTTGTACAGAAAACAGCGTGTGGACAATATCTTACAATTGACGTTTGAAAAGGTCTAAATGGCCGTTGAGATCTCGTTGGGTTTATTCTGTTACGTAACTCAGCGAAATTTAATGCAAGTCTGAAATTTAACTGGAATATTAATATACATTTTGCTCGACTTACCGCGCAACATGGATCAACGTACTCGGACGAACACGTTTCTTCTGTGCCATTATACTCCGTGGAGCATGCATGGCCTTGTATCACCCGAGTTTATAGCGTCATTACAAGAGTAACACTCCAGCGCTTCGCCGGAAGTGACCAAGTACAGAATCACTGAAAGAAATCGAAATATTACCTTCAGTACATTTTAATGAATTTTACTAAGTGTTTCTGTCGTTATACTGGATAGCGCACCCAGTAATACTGATTTGGATTGATTTTTATACGACTATGAACAAAAACAAACTGGATAAAATGTGAAATATTGGCTAAAACAAATAGCTTTAAAACCAATAATAATTAATATACATCAAATATAAAGAGAGATATCTTGTACACTTTATCATTTGTAAATCTTATTAATAATACAATGTTTATCACGTAGAAGAAATCGCATGCTAGAAAGGCTAGTCTGCATTCGTGTTGCGTTCAAATTTATATGTACCAAAAGACGTGGGGAAACTCAACTCGCTGCTGGTAGACCACACTTACACTTTAAAGATACAGGGTAAATCAACCCAAGTAACGCACACCTAATGTTCCTCACAGATATGGCTTTATGACTAACCGTCCCCGTGTGTCTACCCGACCGGCGGGTCGCCCACTCCAATCAACGTTTCTAAACGAGTTGCAATCTTTTTCTCCACCTACGTTTCTATCAAGCATACAATTATGACGTCATCGTCAGTCGATGAATGAAAACCACTGACATGGGAAAGTATTGCACATATATGAAATATATATGTGTAATACGGCTTGAAGCGGGGGAGTCGTCACCCGTGCATGCGTCAGATGGCCATAGCGTGTCGTTGTTTGCAAACAAGCGTCTACCCATGAGCCTTTGCGTTTTAGCGTGTTTTGTTATCGTCACTTGGGACTCAATTCCCGCGCGTGCGCAGGTGACGACCCTCCTGCTTTATGCGCCCAAACATTAGTGCTGTTTAAAAATATGTTTGGTTGTTCGTTCCATTGAAACATACACACTGAATAGTGTATATTTAGTAACCAAATAGTATGGAGTAATTTGTACAATTACGAGCGGTAGGTTATCCTTATTATATTATACCAACTTCATTTTAAATGTAATTTTGAGACACTGAAATAACTTTATACTAGTACCCTAGTACCACAAAAACCATATGCAAATGTGATACTGAAGCATCAATAACGTACTGTAAAATACTTTATTTTAGCTGGAATTAATTTTCGCTGAAAAGACATTTTTGATGCTTTGTATGTAATTTATTTTCACTGATTTTTAACAAGTTGAATCAAAATATTTATTTTCACTGAATCATTCCTTCAGCGAAAATAGCGAAAATTAAATCCAAGCGAAAATACAGTATTCCACAGTAAATGAAATGGGCCCTGGAACTAGTATACAGCGATTATAGATACACTGAGCAGTGACGCTAAGTCGCATCCGTATTTCGGTGTTGGTTTAATTTGAATAGTTATTACTAAGTATTTTCTTGTTGGCAGCAACGTGGATATATGTAAAACACCAGAATCGACATATTTTTTGGAAACAATACTGTCGGCCGCCGGATTATGTTTTGAGGATCAACAAAAGTATCGGATTAAAGAAAAAAAGTGGACTGTATATCATATATATATACATTCTACCTCTTGTTAGAATCCGTGAATAAACCGTATATTATACTTACCACAAGACACGATCAATTCAAGTCTACACATCATTGCTCGGTTCTAGTCGCCAAAAAAGTCACTGTGAAATAAAAATTAGTATTTTAACTGCGTGATGCTTTTGCTATAGGAAGAGCGTGAATAACACAGCTGGCCACCCAAAATAGCATAACAATACAAGTTCATGAACGTAAAACGACTTCAACCAAATTACATTGACAACACGTTGTAAAAACCTGCTCAAACAACGAAAACA